GATGACTTCGGGACTTTGTCCAACCTACACTTCCTTAGGAAATTCCTTCTAGTGCATGACGGTCCTTATGATGAGTAAGTCTAAATTAATCTTAGATTTTGCACTCTAAGCCCCTGGCTGCTACTTCTCTCAGGGGTACAGAGCTCCTAGTCACTTTTCCTGTGGTGAAACTGGAAATATCAGCAGGTTAGGACACCTACTCTGTCAAAATCCCATCAGTCTTTTCTCAGGGGATGAGTTCTGCAGCCCTCCACCACATGTGTGGCTCACCCTCAGAGCTCTCTAGCCTCCATCAAGAGGCTGGGCAATGCTGGCTTTGCTCACCCTGGCAGATGCTCCAGGTCCTCGGGAGACAGGCTGGAGCCAGGGGGAATCCAGCCTGGGGCTGTGAGGACCCCCATCTGCAGCAGAGGACATTCACACAGCGGGTCAGGGCACAGAGATCCTCTGCTTTAACCCTGTCCTACCTGACCTGCAGCTGCAGCAGCACTGCCCCAGGGATCAGCATCCCACAGCACAGCCCAGGCTTGACAGAGCGACCAGCGAGGGACAGGAGATGGAGGTGGCACAGAGAAACACTGGGGCCATGCAGGGGGGCACAGACAGACACTGGGGCCATGCAGGGGGGCACAGACAGACACTGGGGCCATGCAGCCACCCCAGTGTCCAGCTCCTCATCTCACCTGGAGCACCTCAGCACTGCTGTGGCTTCTCAGTCCCTCTGCAGCCTCGGTCCCTGCAGGGCTGCCCTGTGCCCTGTGTGCTGGTGCTGGCAGCTGGGGCAGGGGCACAGCAGGGTCCCCACACAGGGTGGCAGCTGGTGGCCAGCAGCCTGCCTGGGCAATGCCTGCAGCCAGCTCCATGCCCAGAGCCCCGTGCTCCTTGCCAGCCCCACGGCAGGAGAGCGTTTTGCTAATCCTTTCATCCCTGCCCAGCAGCACAGCCTCCTGCCAGCTTTGCAGGGAAAGGCTTTGGAAGCACCTGGGGCTCCAGCAAGGAATCATTCCCTGTGAAGTGACCAGGGCAGGAGCCACCTTCCAGCCCTGAGGGTTCCTAAACCAGCCAAACAGCCTCAGAACAGGCCCTTACATACACAGAGCAGATTTAACTCTCCCCAAGCTGGAACCAAACAGCTCATTCCCTCAGAAACTGGCTGATCTTCCTGACAGCGGGCCAGGAATGCTGGGAGGGGTCTGAGCAGGGGTGAAGTGTAGAGCATTCCATTGTCCCACCCTGCTCCTGGACCACAGCTCAGCCTCCTGCACACACAGGGAGCAACAGATCTGCACAACCCCCAAAAAAATTAACCACAAGTTATTGCCCAGGTCACAACCTCAGTGGTTTGGAGGATGATTAAATATTTATCTGGAAAACAAGGATGTACACAATTGAATTCAGCAGGATTAGTGATAAAGCCCATAAAGATCCACTCATGGGAGGCAGAGCCAGTTGCTCCCTTCCAAGGAAAGCCCCGGGCACCCAGGGCTGGGTCACCTCCTGCCAAGGCTCCTGCTCCCCTCACAGCCGTGTGGTTTGGAGGGAATCACTGTCACCTCCTCCCATGGACCTCAGCTGATCCTTTTCTCTTTATAGTGCACCAGAGAGATGAAAACCCCTGTGCTGGTGTCCACAAATTGCTCCTCCCTGGCACGGTTTAATCTAGGAACAGTTCTGTTTCTCCTGTGTGAGAAGAGGGCTCTCCTTGACCCTGGACACACCAGAAAACGTGAGCCTTCACCCCCTGAAGGAGCTCTGTAGTAGTGTGGAGCCAGCAGCACTCTCTAGTACTCATTAGAGCTTGGAGAGCTCTGTAAAACACAAACAGAATGACAACCTGGAAATAAACCTCTAACATCCTCTCTCTGCACACAGAGAAGCTTAATATATATGTCACAGACTGTGCCTATAGTCTGACACTATATCACAGCAGATGGGATCCTGCTAAGCATGCTTGGGATCAGCAGTGCAGAAAACAAAAGGGTGGGAAAGGCCCGAGCACCCCCTTCTTTTCCATTACACACATCTCTGTACAGGAAAGGTGCCTTTGGACAGAGATATTCCTGGAATAGCCAGGATTAATGGCATGCCAGAAATATAAACGCAAGCAGGATGTTGCAATGGAGCTCAGCCACCTCAGCAAGGGTCTCCCACCACCAAGGGGAGCTGCCCAGTCTGCAGGCAGGAGCAATTCCTTGCACAGCCCCAGATGTTTAACGTGTCCTTTCCCTGTAAAATTTATTTCCCACGATTATGTTCTGACTTACACAGTCCCTGCCAGGGAATATCAGAGATTTCTGTCATTAATTATCCTTTTGTCCAGGACAGGATTTAACTGGAAATTATTTGTTTAAAAAGGAGAAAAGCTTATTAGCACATCGAGGAGGTCTCTGTCCTTTATTTGCGTTGTGTATATAATCTACTGGAAATCAAAGTATTCAGATGATTTGAGTAAGTTACTGGCCTCTGCCTGCTAGCCAGGAAGTTCACCAGCCCGTGGTGGGGTCAGTATCTTTCCATGGCTTTTTACTTTTGATTTTTCCAGAGGAAACAACTCAGCACAAGTCTATTTCCTAATGTACAATCTTCTACCAGAGTCCACACAAATGTCCCTAAAACCCAACAGGACACGTCACCAACTCCTCTCAGCCTGCACTGCCTAAGGAGCTGATCTGCATCCAGATGCTTTTTCTACACATTTTCTACCCCCCTTACCCCTCCTCCTTTGGCTTTTCCAAACCCAGCTCCTGCTGGGGAGAGCAGCACAGAGCTGCCCCTCTGAGCCCTGCTCGGAGCTGAGCTGCCTCATGTGATTTCCCAGGTTGGCTGCTACCTTCCAGGCATATCTTCACCATCTGAGGCTTTTCAGGAGCTCTCGTCTTTGCCAAATCTCACATTCCCAGAGTTCCAAACTTTCCCTGACTTCTCTTGCACTTTCCCATCTCCCAGCACTGCAGCCTTTAATAACTGCTGCCTACCCACGTGTACACTCAGAATGTCAGAGACCTCTTGCCATTTCCTGACTCATTACTCACTCCTTGGCTCTGCACAGCCCACTCAGGGGATGCTGCAGTTCCTGAGTGTCCCTGGTTGCTGCCTGCCCCGTGCAGCCTGGTGAAGGTGGCCGTGTGGCAGGTCAGCCATCAGGTCTGAGGAGATTCCAGTGCCTCCTTCCTTTTCAGAGCGTTTCAACAGTGATGTTTCCCAGCCACAGGCTCTGCAGGTATCACTCCCTTCCCAGGGTGCAGGTGCACAGAGCACAGCAGTGCATGCCACCAGGAATGTCCCTGCACTCCTCCTTTCAGCTGCTTTCCCACACTCTTGCACAATCCACACAGGCTGCACCCCTTCCAGCAAACTCACATGGAGGGTATGACCCCATACAGCCCCACAGAGGCTCCACAGCCATTCCACCACTGCATCCCAAAATGTGCCCTCAAATTTCTCCAGAGGCTTTGGGAACATGGAACATGCTGAACTCAGAGCCTGCCCATGGACAGCAGGGGCCTTTTACTGACAGGGATTAGTGCAATGGGGCTGGAGAAGGAATCCTGCCCCAACACTCAGAGCACTTTGTCCATCCACGGCACTTCCCATCATTCCTGATGAAAGATCCCTCGTAGAGCAGAGCCAAGCAAGGGGCCCTGCAATAAATCAACACCCAGGAGACTCTGGCTGATGCAGACATTCCTGAGCAGATTTAGATCTTGTTTGTGAGGAGGGATTCCTCCACGTCCACACTCTGCACACCCCAGCCACTAGAGAAGCATCTGGCAGCCAGTCCACAGCTCAGCCACCCCAGACACATCACACGGCTGCTGAGCAGCAGGAAAACTCTCTGGTTCCAGCAGATCATAAGCTTATTAAAGATAGATTTGTGCTTTGGTCTGCAGAGATAAACAGATCAAAGGCATTTCGGTCTGTGTGCCAGTGCCGCCGGTATCCCCTTTGGCAGGGAGGTGGGGATGTGCTCTCCATCCCCGTGCAGGGCCCTGGGGGAGCTCAGCCCGGTGGGGGAGCAGCAGGGAGTGTTCCCAGGGCCACATCCAGACTGTAACGAGCCCATTCTTGGCTGTTTGCATGGGGAACTTGGAAGCAGCTGGTGGGGAGTGAAGCACCTCCCTCGCAGGACTCCCTAGGCTGCTCTCCCCAGCCCTGCAGAGCCAGGGGTGGCCAGGCTTCGCTGGAGTCCTGCTGCCAGCCCGGGGTCTGCTCTGCTCAGGAGGGACAGCTAAAAGGGGAAACAGGTCCTCGCACAGCTGGCCCGGCAGCTGATATTTGCACAGTGCTTTGAGACCCGCAGATGAAAGGTTTGAGAGACACGAAAGGCTGTCACTGCCTGTTTGTCATTTCGTGTGGTTCCTCCCTGCTACCGCACGCAAAGGAGACGACTTTCAGGAGAGGTGAGTGCAGCTTGAGGGAAAGATGAAACAGGGGAGGCTTTTCCTGCCACGTCCGCTTGCACGAGGAGCACATCTGCACCCCAGAGCTGGCTGGGCTCCAGCTCCCTCCACCCACTTTACAGGCACCCCGCCTTCATCCTTATCTGCCCCCAGTTCCACACAAGAGTCACCATCCTCCCTGAGCCACGGCTGATACCCCACTCCAGGCTCAGCTGTGCTTGGGGGTTCACATGAATTGCAAAGCCAAAAATTGGGAATGAGTGACAACATCATCACAGGCAAGTGTGTGCCTGCAGAAGAGAGCCGGGAGGGAGGGAGGGAAGGAACCTTAGCACATGGCAAACCAGCAGCAAGGGCCCCGAAACTTCAGGCGAGTGAGGAAGGTGATGGTATCACTCAAGAAAGCAGCAGCAGGAGGCAGCAGGCATCCCACCCCCTCTCCGTGCCAGGCACGGCTCGGCGGAGCCCGGCACGCTCGGAGCTGGGCTCACTTTGAGCATTTCAAATTTGCCGGATGATAACCTCGGCGCCTGATCCCACCCACTGGAGCTCTGACTCATGTTGCAGTCACCGCTGCCCGGGTAGTATTGGTACGAGAGCAGGGAGGGAGGCTGGCTCCAGAGGAGGGAGGAGAGCAGAGAGGAGAGGGAGCGAGCTCTGCCCTCGCAGCTGAGCCGCACGCACCGACCGGGGCGAAGCCGGAGCCGCTGCAGCCGCTGAAGGCTCCCAGGGGCTCTGAGAAAGCACCAGCTTCCCCAGGTAATGTTTTTCCCTTACTTCTTGCTGAGTTGTTACGCTGCTGAAATACTTTTTAGGTGAGATTCAGAAGGGTTGGTGGGTCGCTGCTGAGTGGGATCTTGCAATGGGACAGCTGGGTCAGGCGAGAGGGTGTCAGATGCTGGTGCCATCAGCATCCTGCGGTGGCTGAGTGGAGGCCGGTTTGGGGACTTTTTTGGCTGTTTCTGGTGGGGACAGCTGGATCTGAGAACATCAGAGCCAGAGGAAGGACATGGGTGCAGCGTGCCCAGGGCAGAGCCCTGCACATCTGTGGTGCACATCTGCAGCCTCTCTGCCCAAGCACGGGGGCTCTGCTGACCTCTCACTCTGACCTGAGCCTTGCCCTGGGCACTCCAGCCCTGCACACCCTGGCAGCTGTGGGGATCTGCTGCTGCCCCGTGCCAGGGCATGGTCAGATCTGTGGGGCAGGACACCCCCAGGCTGGGCTGGGCAGTCCCAGGGGTGCCCAGTGCTCACTGTCCCTGTCCAGAATCAGCTTCAGCAGGAGACTGAATCCCAAAAACTCAGCTCCAAGCACACCCTAGAGCCCAGCTCCTCTGTTTTCAGTTTCACCTTTCCTAGACGCTGTCTGCCGAGCAAACTTTTGAAATGCTGACTGCTCTGTGCATTTCCACATTGCTCCTCACGTTTCCTGATTTCAGGGGTCCCGAACAACTCCTTACCCACAGAGCCCCTTTCCTCCTGGGGAAGCATGACGGAGGGCTGGTGGCAGTGACGGGAATTTTGTCCTGCCTCCCCCAACCCCTCTGCTCATGCTAGAGGCAATAATCACTGCTTTGAATCAGACATCACTCTGGGATAGGGCACAGAGAGCACCTGGAGAACCCAAAGAAGCCCAAAGAACAGGGACAGAAGTGTCTGGGGATGCAGCCAGGCAGGACACCAGTGTCCCCTCGCATTTTTCCTCTCTCACATTGCTTTCAAGTCTTACCTGTGACAAATTTGTTGTTGTCCCATCATGGATCAGGCTTGTGGGCCTGGCAGGGAATCAAGAAGCCCATTCCCAGCTTGGGAATTTCGCAGTTCCCACCATCAAACCTCAGGCATCCTGTCTCAGACCAGCATAAACCCCCACACTCCTTCCCCTCTCTTGGCTGAAATACCTCTCCCAGCATGCCCAGATGTTCAGTCTCAGGAAGGAGTTGAATACAATTCTAGAAAAAGCCACGACACTCTGCTGTGAGCTCTGCATGGCCAGGGAATGCACTTGGCTCCCAAGTGCAAAGCACTTTTTCTGCCTGCTCTTTTCTCAGAAAGAATCTGTCATGGGAGGCAGAGGAACATTTCTGCAAGGGCACAGCCCTCCTGCCCCTGAGACAGAGCTAAAAGGCTTCATGTGGTGCTTCTCCTGAGCCCCCAGCCACCTCTGTCCTTTCCAGAAGTGTGAAATGCTTCCCAAAGAGAGGCTGCCACATTCAGGCACTTCCTGAGTGCTCCTCTCCACTCGTGTGTCTGCTCGTGGTGCCGATGTACCCGGGCTTTTAACAGGTTCAAAACAAACCTGTTCTGCCAGAAAGGAAGGAGAGCAGCCAATGTATTCCCTGCCAGAGCCAGCACTGCATCCCATTAATCTTACTGCAAAAGTGCACCAAGTGCTGGAATTAATGATGTTCTAGGAAAGGATGCTGAGAGGTGGGGAGGGGGAATAAAAAGGTAAAATGCAACAGAAATTTCCCACTAATAAATCGCAGCCCACTCCCCAGAGGAGAAAAATGCCATTTTAAAGAGGAAAACGGCAGATCAAATACAACATGGACTGCAACAGAGCAGAAAAATATCTGTTCAGGCAAATATCTGGCAAGAGAAAGCAGAAATTACTATGAGAATTGTAAAGAGGATAATGGGGAGACGATAGGATATTACAGCAGAAGGATCATTAATGCACCAGAGAAGGCTATTAACAGAGTTCCTTAAAGATCAGCCTAGAGGTAAATTTTATTTAATGGTTGTCATTAGTGATCTTGACTCAGAAAATTAGGGCTTCTTTAAGAGAAATGTACTGGTGAGAAACTTGGGAGAAGTTCTGCACTGGACAAAGGACTAAGTACTAGAGGAGAAGAACCAGAGGATCTGAAGATTAACAGAAACACACCGGGCTGGCACAGGCTCACATGCTTAGCAAAAAGCAAAAATTGCTACTCTAAGCAGCTGAAAACACCATAGAAAAAAAAAAAAATCTGACTTTTGGGGGACCCCAGGATGAGTGCAACAACAAATGCAACCTGAGAAGTCTTCACAGCAGAGATAGTGTTCATTGGAGCACCAGCACCACGGAAAAGGCATGAGAAAGATGACCCAGAAGCAGCGCCCTGCTCTGGCTCCTTCAATGTCAGGAGGGTGATTTTGAACCACAAACAGGTCCAGGCTGTGATAATGAGGATAATCAGGTGAATGTAAAAGCTGCCTGGTGAGACAGGGCTGGAAAGGTATCATTTATTCTGGCTGTTGCTGGAAAGACTGCCATGGGAAACAGCTGCTCCACTCGTACATCGAGGAGGAAATCAACTCACTCTGCCAGAACACAGCAGGAGCAGAGGACACAGGTATTGGAGGTGGCTGTGAGTGACCTGGGCACAAAGCCAGGAGCACACGTGGAGTCACAGAGAGCCAATGCTCCAGGAGAGAGCTCTGAGCTGGAGGCATCATCCCGGGCTCTGTGTCCTGGCAGTGAGCTGACAGCCCCCAGCTATGCCAGCCCTCCAGCCTGCTTTTCCTGCAAAGCCACGTCCAGAGGCTCTCCTGGGGGAGTGTTTCCATGAGATAATTTGGCTGGGGGATATGGGAAGGTGTCCTACACCTCCAGCACAGTTAGGGTTGCAGCATCACACACCCGAGCTGACAGGAGGCAGGTCCTGCCCCACTCCATGGAGGAACATCCCAAGGGTTTGCAGGCAGCTGAGCCCTGCAGCCCACATTGAGCCACAGAGTCCCCAGCACTACCTGAGCTCCTCTGCAGGGATGGGGACACCTCTGTACCCTTGCAAGTGGCCATTCCTTGCCCTGAGCTAATCTGAAAAAGCAATAAGAAGCAAAACCCCTTCTGGGCACCTCAGCAGGGCAGGGCTGCACCAGGAGCTGTCCTGGCACCGCAGCAGAATCCAGATGAGCCCAAGTGCCCAGAGCTGGGTCCCACCAGCAGAGCCCCAGGCGAGCCCAGCACAGCCCACACGAGCTGCAGAGCCAGAGGCAGGAGCAGGTTGTTGGTGTGTGGTGAAGCAGCCACGTAGGAGGCTGCCATCCACCCACAGCATTTTCTAAGTGTGCTACTCCCCCTATAATTTAATCTGCCATTTCCACATGTTGGGAGCAATGAAAACACATCCCTTTCACTTGGAAATACCCTTCTGTGGGAACAACCTGTTCTCCTCGCTGCCGTCAGTGGGCAGGCAGCGCTCAGCTTGTTCCACACTGCTTTTGTGAGTGAACAAAGAGCTTTCCATGGCAAGAGCCTGCGCTGCAGCTGGAGGTGAGGAGCGCTCCACACGCTGCTGCCGTGGCTGAAAGCATTGCATCCCTCTCCCAACAGCCTCAATCCCAGCACCCAAACTCAGAGGGCTTCCTGCCTGCCAGTGAGTTTGCTCTGCTCAGCAAAAGGCTTCCCATGGGCTCATGGTTTGTGACTTGTTGTTTGCTTTCCATGCCTTTAGAAGCAGCAGGGCTGGGGGAATCGCCTCTATCTCAGTGGTCCAGTCCCAATCTCCCCCTGTATGGCTCCTGGCAATCAGTGGTTGTTGGCTCATGCAGTCTCCCTGGTACACTCCCTCCTGTGGCCCCCATGCCTTTAGACTTCAATCAAAGATGTAAATCATCTGAAGAATATTTTAACCTGCACCACAGTGTTATCTTGTTGTTGCAGGGGGAGTTTAAGATCTCACCTTTGTCCTCTGACAAGGCTGGATCTTTTCCTTTCCTGGGGTTTCTTCTGATTGCTCCATCTCTGCAGCCTGTTGCTCTCTGCAGAGAATCAGCTCTGCCTTCCTGCACAGTCCTGGGCACCACCAGGGAGGCTTCACTGCTGCTCCACAGGGTGCAGGGAGCCTGCAGAGCTGGGTCCTGCACACCCACGGGGACCAGCACAGCTCTCCCACACCAGCACATTGAGGAGGATGGGGAGACCCCTCAAATCATCTGGGAAGCTCATGGTGGGAGACCACAGCTTGGACACAGGCAGATCCATGAGGGTCAGCACAGTCCAGCTCCTCAGCCCATTCCCAGCCCTCTTTCTTGTCCCTGCACTGCCTCAATTCCCCTTCAGGTATTTTCCCAACATGGATAATTGCTCCCAATCAAGGACCCGAGGTCCCTTTGAATCTAGTAGTGGCAGGGTCTTGGAGATCACCATAACCAGCAGCTCATTGTAAGTCAGAGTGGTTTGCTCTGTTGTTTCTTCCCTGGCAACATGTGGTGTTTCGTTATTTGCATGCAGACAGAAATCAGCCAGAAAAAGTCAGTCTCCAAGGGATATTCTTCCTCCCTCCCAGGACCCAGAGCAGAGTGGGGATTTCCCATACAGGCTACGGGAGCTGCTGTGATTTGTGATGGCAGGATGGCTGCTGCCAAGCACAGACACAAGGACAAAGTTTAATGAGATTGGCAGCCGCAGCCAAGATTCAGAAATTACGTAGTCGTGACTAATTTTGCTGAATTGCATAAGAACTGCTATCTCAGGAAAATTGTTTCCTCATATCCTCCTCGTTCTCACTTTTATTGTAAGCCTATAGGAACATGACAGTTTTAAAATCCCTGCCCTTCTCTCAACATCCCTCCATTACATGGGCACCCCTAGGGCTGGGAGAGCCCAGCTGGCAAACTCATGGGTGCCTGGCTGCCAAAGGACTTTCCAGCTTGGGTTTAAGTGGGCTGGAGCAGCCAGGGAGGTACAGACACCCTGCTTCTGGAGGGGCTTGAGGGGAAGCTCAGAGGGTCTTTGCCCACTGCAGCTCTGACTTGATGCTTTTATAGAATCACAGAAGGGCTTGGAAGGCAACTTACAGATTTCATGCCACCCCTGTGCCAAGGACAGGGACACGTTCTGCAACACCAGGATGCTCAGAGCCTTATCCAGCCTAGACTTGAACGTTTCCAGGGATGGGGCAGCCACAGCTTCTCTGGGCAATCTGTGCCATGGCCTCACCAGAACTTTTTTTTGTAGGTTGTCCTTGGGAGGTGGCAAAGCTCTGTCCCTGCTGGAGCTGCTGACCACTGTCACCAACCAAACATGCAGAGGGCGTGAGAGCCCACAGGACCTGACCCAATGGTCACTCAGAGGAAAGGAGAAGGCAAGAAAGGAAAAGAATCTCTTGAGATCCACCAGCAGCTGCCACGGGGCTTTGGCTCCAGCACTGAGCTCCCAGAGGGGACCAACAGGCACAAATGAGTTGCAGTGCCACATCTTTCCTAGGCCATGTCATTCCCAGCACACAAGGCTGAACGTGTGAAGTGACTCTGCAATGTTCTCCAAGATCACTGTAGAACAAGGGTCACGTTGGGAAGGGCTCTAGGCTGCCTGGTCCAGCCTCACTCCAAGCAGCTTTGGAGCTGATGAGAGCAGGACTGCTCCACCCTTGCAGCGACACCATGGATCCATGTTACAACCACACAAGCTCTCAAAAAAGGATGGACTTCCCCCTGCAGCTGCTGGTCGGGTTCTTCCTCACCATCCTCATCCTGATCACTCTCTGTGGTAACATCATCGTCTGCCTGGCCGTCACCCTGGACCGCCGGCTCCGGAGCTTGACAAACCGCATCATCGTCTCCTTGGCCATCACAGACCTGCTGCTGGGGCTTCTGGTGCTGCCATTCTCTGCCCTCTACGAGCTCACCAAGGAGTGGCCCTTTGGCAGCGTCTTGTGCAACATCTACACCAGCCTGGACGTCATGCTGTGCACGGCCTCCATCCTCAACCTCCTCATGATCAGCCTGGACCGCTACTTCGCTGTCACCACCCCGCTCCGCTACTGCCAGGTGGTCACTCCCTCCCGGGTGGCCGTGGGTTTGGCTGTCATTTGGACCGTTTCACTGATGGTCTCCTTCCTACCCATCCACCTGGGCTGGAACACCAACGGGACAGCAGTGCAAAACACAGACCCCACCTGCCACAAGGAGTGCATGCTGGCAGTGAACCTCGTGTACGGGTTAGTGGACGGCTTGCTCACCTTCTACATCCCTCTGGTCATCATGTGCATCACCTACTACCGGATCCTCAAGATAGCCAGGGAGCAAGCCAAGAGGATAAACCACACGTGGGGCAGCGCGCCCATGCCACCCATGGTGAAAGAGCACAAAGCCACCGTGACGCTGGCGGTGGTGCTGGGCGCCTTCATCGTGTGCTGGCTGCCCTACTTCACCATGTTCATCTACCGGGGCGTGTGGGGGGACAGCAGGATCAAAGGCACGCCCATGTCCATTGTGCTCTGGCTGGGCTATGCCAACTCAGCCCTGAACCCCATCCTCTACGGGACACTCAACAAGGATTTCCGAGTGGCATACCAGCACTTGCTGCGCTGCTGGAGGACAGGACACCCCAGGAACTCCCACCTGCCTCCCCTCCCAAAGGCCCAGCCCAGGGGCAGGCAGGGCCAGGGCAGGCAGGAGGGTAAGCCCTTGAAACTGGAGGTGAGGAATGAGAAGGGGACTCTGCTCACTGATGGAGCCCTCAAGAGGTAAGAACCTTCCTCTTCCACTCGGGACATTGATGGGAGGTCTGTCCCCAGCAAGGAAGGCAGAGGTGGGGACTTCTTGCACTCAGGACATTAATGCTGTCCCCAGCAAGGAAGGCAGAGGTGGGGACCCCAAATTGTCCATGGACTTTTAAGCAACAAACTGATGCCCCAGCTGGAGATCCTTGCCCAGGCAACTCCTGAGTTCAGCCACTCAGAAATTCCTTACCACTCATAAGAGCCCACCTTGCATCCCCTCCATGCTGGCAGCACAGCTCCAGGTACTCCAGCTTCCCACATGGCTGGGCCTCCCCTGGAATTGCCACCGTTCACAGGGAGCACAAAATGTCCCCTGGCTTTGCTGGATAATGAGGACAGTTACCATCAGAATTTGCTGTACAGAATGGGGTGAAGCTCTTAGCTGGGGCTGCTCCCCAAAATCAGCCGTGTCCCTGTGAGGAACAGACAGCAAATTCTGGGCACAGAGCAGAGCTTCAGGGGCCAGGAAAGGTGACAGAAGGGAAGAGGGGAATTAGTCCTGGGGCACAGTCAGAGCACCTGCAGCCAGGCTGAGTCCCTGCAGGAGCCAAGGTCTGGGTTCCCAGCTCCCTGCAGAGCAGCTCGGCCACTTCCCATCCAAGCCATGCACCCTCAGCATTTCAGCCCTCAGTTTGCATCAGCAGTGAATGCAGCCAACAGCAAGTTCCATTCCCATCTCTGGAAAGGGGCAAGAGTAGCCCAAATTAGGTTGGCAGATGTTTTTAGAAATACAAATGCCCATGTAAAGTTAGAGCAAAAAATTCCCTCGGCGTCATCCCAAGTGTGTTACGAGGGTCAGCCCCAGCAAAGGGTGTGGTGAGGGAGCAGGATGGGAGCAAAGTGGGCAAGTTCTGTGCCAGGCTGTCTCCTCAGCCCCCTCCCTGGGCACCCACACCCCCACAGGGCTGTGCCACCCTCTCACTGCCTCACTCCAAGGTGTTCACTCAGCCAAGCACAAGGAGAACCGAGAGGCAGGCTGTCAATCTGCTGCTCCCGAGATAATCTAACCTCTAAGCAGTGCCTGATAAGCAGCCCAGAAACTTTCCATCCATAGATAAGGAGTCCTTTGATTCCCTGTTCCCAGCGTGCCAGCAGAGAAGCCGCGCTCGAGCAGCACGTGCCCTTGATCCTGCCCAGAAGGAGCCTTAAGCCACCACAAGGAGAACTCAGGGAGGTGAACCAAAGTTCAGAGCCATCCAAAAGGCTGATCCAGCATCGTGCCTCCCCCGGGGCACCAATGTGGCTGTACCCAAGGGAGGGGTGCAGATAAAGAGATACAGAGGGATGGATTAATGGGAACAAATACAAGAATGCAGGTCCCGGGGCTGCCTTTTTCCATTTCCAAGGAATTAATGAAGAGCCCAAAGTTACAGCATTTGGCAAATTGTAGGTTGTGTATAAAAACATATGGAAAACGTGTCTAAGGTGGTGAGGGTGTTTCTGCAAACATACAGAGACAAAGAGAGCTATCCTGTTTGCTCACACAGAAGTGCAGCCCCTGGGCAAACCAGGAGCTCTGCACTGAGGCTCTGCAGCTGAGCCAGGAGAGCTGGTGGTGGGGAACAGGCTGTTGGGATTTCCCTGCACCGCCAAGAGAGAACAGAATATAAATATATGTCAGTGTCTTCTCCAAATGCTGACTTACCACAAAGGGACAATAATGACTTGGAGGGAGATGAAAGAGGAAGAAAAATGGGTTTCTGTTCCTCAGGCAGAGGGCAGGGTCACTGATTTCCTGGCGTTTACCCTCCCAGCTTTTCCGGATAGAAAAGATTCTTCCCCTGGTTTCCCAGAGGGAGCACTCAAGCAAGGGGATGTTTCCTGACCTTTCTAAATCCAGTGAGCTCCACCCCATCCTACACAGCATCACCACTGTGGTTTCCACTCACAATCAGATAAGAGTTGCTCGAGGATCTGCTTTTACTTTCTCTCCTTGTCTTCATGGCCCTCTCACCTCACAGCAGTCACAAACCCATGATCACATGTGGCCCCTTCCAGCCCTTTTTTCCATAGTCAGATACACAAAGATCTGCTGTTGGCAGATGATCAGGATCAACTATTCCACACAAGACAGGTGAGCACAGGGTTCACCTGTTCACCAAAAACCTGGCAGCCAATTTCACCCCCAGCACAAACCAGGCTGGTTCCTCTGGCCTCTTCCTCTCTGCAGAGTCTTCAGAGTCATCTGCCCTGAACACGTTAACAGGAAAAGGCCAACATAAATCACTCAAAAAACTCATAACCCCCCAGACAGGAACACCCAGACCTCAGAAGAGCTCTGCTCCGAGAAGCTCTGTGGGATCATTCGAGGGAAAACAGAATTTTGAACTGTTGCCCTTAATAACAATGTTCTTTTCAGTTATGAGGCATAGGGAAAAGACTAACAAACAAGAGTGGAAACACTGTACTGAACTGCAGCCAGTCTCAAGGGTCACTCAGAGCCTCAGTCAGGAGCAGGGCAGGGAGTCAAAAGCCACGGGACCTCCAGAGCAGCTGGGGGCTGGAGGGCACTCCCAAGAGTGAGGACCAGGCAGGGCTGAGAGTGCAGGACCAAGCAGAGGTGCAAGGGGAAGACAGCTGCTCCCATTTCCACAGCAGGCATCAGAGAGGAAGGCGACTCATACAAAACCAGTAAAGAAAACCAAAGCACCTCAGGAAGCTGTTTCAGTGCAGTGGATGGGGCTCTGAAGTGAGCTGGTGCTTGGCTTGCTCGTGGCTTTAGGCTCTGAGACCAGACCCTGATGTTCAGAGAGATCAAAATCCCGTGAGAGGGAGCACTCAGCACTAACAGGGGTGTGCTGGGGAAGAAGTCACTGGAGCTGAATGAGTGACTGTGGATCACACTCTTGCATGCTTAGAGCAGCATGGAACAGGACCATGAACACAATATATGGGCAGAGGAGCAGCCAGTTCCCACTGGAAAGGGTCCCTGTCCCAGTCACAACACGCCTGCCCAGCTGCCAGCCTCAGCAGACACTGCCTGGTGCTCCACAGGGCAAAGCCAGGCTCAGCCAGGCTGGCACTGACAGACTGCACTGTTCTTTTTCTCTGTCTTCATGTGCAATTTAACCTTTCCAGCACTGGAGCTTTGCTGTGAGTCTCAGCCAGCCCGCTGCCCTAGGACCCACATCTCCCAGCCTTCAGCTCCTGGCTGCCCTCTTCCAGAATCCTGTGTGTGAGGTTGCAAGGACAACACTCAGCTTTCCTCAGCGCAAACCTCGACAGCAGAGGCGAGAGCTGCAGGGTGAGTGCAAGGCCAGGGCTCCTGGGTGAAAATGAGGGAGGAGGCAGCTCTCCCTGCTGTGGCATCCTCTGCATTTTTCCTGCTGCAGGGATCCCTTCCTGATGGTACCTGGTGCAAAGGGTGACACCATCAGAGATGAATCCTCACTGCTTTATCCATCCCTGCTTGCTCCCCAAGCACAGGGGAGGTGCACAGAGCTGGGCCCCCCTCTGTGGCTGCCCCGGAGTTTTGGGGTTACAGAATCAGCCTGAGATGCCCTGGAAGATGCTGCATCCTGTCTGCTCCTCATGCACTGCAGAGGCAGCTGCATTCAGACCATGAATTTCCAGCACACTTCATTTTCATGCAAGCCTACATCCACGTAAATTGCCAGCAGCTTTGGCGGAGATGCTGGCAGGGCTCCCGAGGTGAAGAGCTGATGCTGCACCAGGCACTGCTGCTCTCTCCAAGTGGTGCTGGGCTGGAGGCCACGACTGCCATGCACGGGGGTGCCTCTCAGCTCCAGAGAGCCACTTTGTGCAGCCCTTCTCAGGAAGAGTCAGGCAAGGTCACCCTGACCTCCACAAGCTCCCCCCTCCAACGCTGCATGCTGATAACCTGGGCTCTCCATATTGACTGTGCCTTGGGGGAACACAATCACCCACGTGCTGGAAGCTGGGCACGCCTTGTCCCTGCTGCACCCTGAGCACTTCTAACCTCAGCCAAGGTCACAGCAACGACAGGAGCTGCTGCTGTGTGTCCACACACAGAGCTGGGGTAGAGGCACCCCTGCCCTGGGTGCACCACAAACCTGCACTTCTCAGAGGGGCTCCCTGTGAATCACCCTGGAAATGCCACTGCCCATCAGCAGAAGGAGAAGCAGAGGAGTGCAGGCTGCAGATGCTGTGCTTTGGGGAGGCATCACTGCTGCCCTGCAGCAGGAGCAGAGTGAGCCCTCCAGTCTGGAAACCACAAAGCACAAAGTGAAGGTCCCCAGGGCAGGCACAGCGCAGACACGAGGCAGAGTCATCTCTGCTGCTGTCACTGCCCAGCAGCAGGGGCAGAGGGGACATCAGTTCCAGCTCTTCTGCTTCATGCTTTCCATCCCTGTGCATATGTTCTAAGACACACGTAGTTTCTGTGAGGTAAAAGGAAAATGCCAGCCATCCCCTGAGAGGCTGCTGATCTAATCAGCAGAATGAAGCAGAGGTCTGGGGGGGAGGTTTGCACGAGATCTGAGGTCCTGGTGTCACCACACATTTCCTCTCTGCACCGTGGGGGTGGGGACAGGAAATACCACCTCGTACAGGACACCCAGCCAAAGAGCTCCTGACCAAAAAATTCCCTGACCCACAGCAGGGAGAGGGGCCATGGGAGAAGCAGCACCCAGGAGCAGAGCAGTGCCAGGACATCAGCTTTTGACAGGCTACGCTTCTGACAACTCAGTCCTGCTGCTGCTAGCTGGCCCAAGGGACAGGAAGAGCAAGCAGAGAAAGCCACAAAAAAGAGTGATATTGCTCAGAGGGGTGTTGGGTGATAGGTTTTTGGGCGATGCAAGCCTGCTCAGCTCTGCCCAAATGCCAGCACTCAGCATTTTGTCCAGGATGCCAAGAGCATCCTCACGGCATCACACCACGGCCCCTCCCAGGCACAGCAGGTGCTGAATGCAGCACCCTCACCCCGGGGAGCAGGAGAGGGGGGAAATGGACCCATCTGCGTCTTGTGAAGTCATTGATCTCCCTCTGTGTTCCCCTGCAGGATCCCTGCTCTGGCACATGGCACCACTCCATCCCAACACTGCTGGAGAGCCTCTGCCCGCCCAGGTTTCTGCCCGGGAGGGTGCTGGGTTAGAAGAGCCCTCGGAGGAGCTGCAGAAGAACACATCCCCATCCTGTCTGGGCAGTGACACTTTCAGCATCAAGCCCCACAGCAGCAGGAAGAGATGCCAGAGGAGCTGGGTCAGGAGGCAGAGCATGCCCTCGGCAGGGCAGGGCAGGGCAGGGAGTGCCTCTCCCAACCCAGGGGTCAGGCTGCAGGGGGAAGGGGCTGGCACTGCTGAGCTCCTGGTGCCAGGCAGACCAGCCTAGGGTGGAGAAAGACAACACAGGCACCACCTTCCTGGTGTCCTTGGGATGTACCCACCCCTCAGAGGGGAAGGCCCTGCTAATGGGGTGAGGGGGCTCAGCGTGGGGGGTGTTGGCAGCCACGAGTGCTGGATGTCTGTGCAAAGAACATCCCAGTCCCCCAGCAACCACGCTGGGGCAAGGCTGCTGCCCATCCCTGGGGCTGTTCTTACAGCACACCCCCTGTCCCAGCCCTACTGCAAGGCAAGGAGAAGCCCTGGAGCCTGCTGGGGAGACACTGAGCAGCCAGGGTTTGCCCCAGGCTCTGCCCTCCCGAGAAGGCTCAACACGAATGTTCCCAAAAGAGAAGATTTCTGCCCCGAGCCTGTGCAGAAATCATCAGTGGTATAAAAATCTATTTAAGACAGAAGGAAAATGCAATACTTGATTTCTGTGGATGTGCTTTGTCCTGGGAAGAGCCTCCCTGAAGAGCTCCATCCTGCTGTCCCATTCCCATCCCTCTGCTGGGACAGAACCCGAGATACAGGCACAGCTAGCCTGGGCAAGGCTGGCACCCCCCAGAGCACAGCTTGCCCTGTGGTACCAACCAGATGTTCCCTCCCTGGTCCCTGAGCCGATGGAGCAGGGCACACCCTGCATCCCCCAGGCGCAGACCCGGAGGGGTGGCACGGCCGGCTCGGAGCTCCCCCTGCTTGCTGCGGGCACAGACTGGCCCCGAGCCCCGGCCACAGCGTGGGGATCACCCTCTGCCATCAGCCACGGCGGGGCTGGGCTCCCCGAGCTGGCACAGAGCACCCCAATCGCCCCCCAGCTCCTCAACACCCCCCGAGCCACCCCAGCGCTGGGGTCAGCACCTGCCACCGGTACCTGGGTGGGTTTCACCCTTCCACCACTAATTAGGGGTTACAGAGGGCAATCGGCTCCCAAAGAGCGAGGAAAGATGAGAGGGGGAGCATTGCAGCCCCAGTGCCCCCCAGCAGCCAAATCCCACCAGAACATCAGCGGGCAAGGAAACATCCCCAGCGAGGTGGGCAAGGTCCCCTCGTGGTCCTCCCTCCTGTGGCCTTGGGATAAGGAGCTGTGACACTCCTGGGCTGAGCCCCCAGAGCAGATTGAGAAATCCCCTGATCAGCAGCTCTGCAGAGCGGCAGGAGCCGGGTCCCTGCAGAGGGGAGCTCCTCTTCCCCAAACAAACCCGGCCGGAGCCGCCTGGAGCATCCACGCTCTGCTCCAGCTCCGAGAGCTGGCACACACACACCCAAACCCCTGCCACCTATGATAACAATTAGAGGCTTATCTAATTGCAAAAATAATTGCAATTGAAGTGTTTAATTACCATACTAAGCAGGAAGAGCCGTTTCCTACTGTTCCAGTAGCACTCCCGATCCATCAAACAAGGTTTGGGGCTTGTTTGGGTGCTGGGTGTTTTTTGGAGTTTTTTTGGTTTTCTTTTTTTGATTATTAGATTGCAGCCCCAGGGGATGAAGAGATTTGCTAATTAGGGTCTTGGAGAACAGCTACCAATTCACAAACACTTGCTTTTAATTTCGATACTAACGAGGCTGGAAGGGGGAGAAATCCAAAATGCAGAACATCTGTGGCAGTGCTGGCTGCAGCAGCGCTGCTCCCACCCCCTGCTCAGGGACCATCCCAGAGACCCCGGGAATGGGCTGGGGAGGGGCTGGCTCGGTGCAAGCACAGGCAGGGTGGAGCTGATGCTCTGGGTCGCTGCTGTCACCGCAGCCACCACAAAAACTAATCCCAGCATGGATCATGTGTCCAATCCCCCCAGGGACCATCGGCTTTCTCAGTGATGGGCTAATCCTGGTCCGGAGGCAACCCTTCCATCCCCTGGGGGTGCAGCAGCAAGAATTTCTCCAGGTGACGTTCGGTTTTGTTCCCCTCTAAACTGACAACAAAAGAGAATTTAATTCTCTCTGCCAAGCAGCAATTCTGAGAGGGAAGAGAAACTGCTTAGGAAGCTCCTAACCAACATCTGCTCTCCCAGATAGGAAATATCCCCTGCTAGAGGAGGGAGTACAGGCAGGGCTGGCTGCCAAGTGCAGGGGGACATCCCCATCCCCCTGTCCCTGCAGGGGACACAGGAGCTCCACTGCCCTAAATACAGCACCCAAACTCACCCTGCTCCTCCAGCCACCCCAGGGACATCCAGCCAGTGCCTGGCTGGGCTTCTTCCACCAAACCACCTTTCCTGCCCTTGCCCCAGCTCGGGGAAGGGTCCAAAAACCTGCAAAGAGGAGACCCAGGGAGGGAGAGAAGCACAGGGGAGGCAGAGCAGCCGCAGGGCATGCAGGCGTCCTGACCCCCGGGAGCACGGCTCAGGTGTGGTGGCTGCCACAGGCCAGAGGCAAAGGAGCGTTTTATTTCTTTTAGATAAAAGAGAAACATCAGTAGAATGAGGAAATAACTGTGTTGTGGGGTTTTTTTCAGGCTGTCATGTGATTAAACACAGAGGAAACAGAAAGGTAGAGAACAGCCCCGAGCAGTGGAAAATGAGAAACTTTGTGTTAGAAATCTCAAGATTGGATTTTCTGGAATAAAATACATTTTGGGATCACTCACCCAACAGTTCTGGCTGGGGAATCACGCCTCTGGAAAGGTTATGGAACCCATTTCCTCCCCACTAATCTAAAAATCACATTTCCATGACAAAGCATCTCGAAAGCAAGGACAAGCACTCCCTACCAGCATGAAGGAGATGGCTGTGGGGATGGCATCGCCAGGTGCCCTCCTGCCTCAGCTAAACGCTTCTTGCCCAGCATTTCCCCACCACCACACGGGCTGGCAGTGCCAGAGGCACAGACAGACCCCGGCCCTGCAGGGTGGTGGCCACGAGGAGCATGGTGGTGTCACTGGGACGGTGGCCAAGGGACCAGAGAGAGAGGACAAAGCCACTAGAGGGCACAAGTATGACAGAAACACGTCCCCACATCGAGGGACCTCCACCTCCTGCGGTTCAACCGCCCCAGAGGCCCCCAAACCCCTCATCGCCCCCACCTCCAAAAGGTGCACCCCCAGCTCTCCCCCAGCTGTAACACACCTTCTCCTGGAGGCCAAACCCCACCAGGCAGAGCTGCCATGGAGACCCCTGGCCAGGCCGCGAGGCATGGGTCCTGCCAGGAGCCATCACCAAGAGATGTCCAACATCCTTCTGTCCTTCTGTCGTTTCCTTCTCCTTCCTCCCCAGAGCGTCCCCTCCCCACTCCCGCAGCCACCACCGCTTTCACCGAGGCTCTCCCACCAGACCAAACACCCTTTGCCAGGGAAAGAGCTGCCCCGTGTCCCCCAGCAAACAGGCACTGTCACCTCCCTTTCCCGTGTGCCACCCACACCTGTGCACGCTGCCTGTCCTGGGTGCAGGATGGGGGGCACGGGGCCCTGTTTCCAGAGCTGTGTTCCTGCTCCCAGCCCCACCAGCACCCCGGGACTTGTGTGTGGGAGCCGCTCTCAGCACCTGGCTGCCCAGCACTCCACCCACCCCGGGCGTAGCTGGCAGGTGCTGCTGCCCCGGGGGTGTTTGCACAGCTGTCAGGGCCTCCTGCTCTCCTTGCTCACCATCCTCACCCCACAGCAGCAGCCGAGCCCCTCCCTGCCGCAGGAGCCCGGAGCTGCTGGAGGCAGAGGCAGCAGCACCTCCGACCCCGAGCACGCAGGGACTGGCGCTGATTAAACGCAGCCCCGGTGCTGATAATTAATTTCTTAGAGGATGAATTACTTGGGAAAGCTCCAGAATGAATGTTGTTCTTCCTGCCACAAAACTGCTAGGTCTGTTGGGGCTTTTAAGAAAATCTAAAAGCAAAGGAGAAGAAGATTCCCTGATGAAGAACCATGGCTGTGCCCTGGGCAAGGGCTCCTGCTGGGTTTGGGATCTCTGCTGGGGCTGTTCTCTGGATCCACGAGGCTGCAGGCAGGACAGGAGGATGTGCTGGCACTGCCCAAGACCCTCAGGACAGGCTGTGGGCATTGGCCAGACTCCCTCCAGCAGCTCCTTGGACCCACCTCAGCCCACCCTTTGTGCTGAGGCATCCCCATCCCCATGGGACCTGCCCAGGGAAGCACGGGGATGTGTGTGGAGAGCAGGCACTGCCCTCTCCCCGGGCACTGCCTGCCATGGTGGGGCTGGACGTGGCTGTCCCCGTGTCCCCGTGGCCCTGTGCCCAGCCCCCTGCTGTGGATGCAGAGCGAGCAGCCCCTGCAGACAGCTCTGTCCTGCAGGGCTCTCCATCCCTTTTGCTTAATAGGAAGCATTTTTCTGTTTCATTTCCCTTACCCTTGGAGCTGAAACCGCCTTTCTGCAGCAAAACACACCAAGCCAAGGAAATTCTCCCTTTGCAGCTCGCAAGCTGCCCTCCCTCCTCCACCAGCAGGAATGGTGCTGGAGTCCCCCCTTGCCTGGGGTACATTGTACAGGTGCAGGGACAAGTGATCCCCTCCCCTGGCCTCCCACTGGCACCTTGGAGACAGCAGGGACAGAGATACTGAGGGGGCTGCAGGATTCTGTTCCCTCCATGTACAGACCTTACAAATATTCCCAAACACGGCAGAAGGCAGAGCCTGCCCTCGGCTCATCTCCTCTGGCCCTCCCCGAGGGCACTTCACTCGCTTGGCCTGCTTCAGCGCTGAGCTAAGTCCACCATTCGTTATTGGGTAATTAAGCTGTTAATTAAGAGGCTGATTTCCCCTCAGAGCCCTGCCAGCAGCTCTTGGTCCCTCGGTCAGGTGCCTCCAGCAGGGCACAGCCTGCAGGGCCGGGGGAGAGCTGCTGTCCCAGGGATGGCTCCGGGGTGATTTTCCTTCCTCCCCCAGGATCTGTTCCTGCCAGCCTGGCCCTGGGGCACCGTGACCCAGCCTGAAGGCGTGAGCCTGCTCCAAAAATGTGCCTGCAGCACAAGCGAGCCTGACACGTCTGGGCTCAGAGCGACACCGGGGAGTCAGGGGCAAGCAGGGGTGAGACACTGCCACCGTGAGTGATGCTTAAACCTAAAGCTCCAAGACTAGAGAACCTCCCAGCTTGTAAGCCTTAAGAAAAAAAAATATATATATATATATATACAATATTTGAGATATTCCTGCCTAAAGAAAAAATCTCTCAGCGACCTTTGCTGCCAGCATGTCCCCCCTGTGTGCTCCTCCCTCCTTTGGGACCGAGCTGGGTGAGGAGGCAGCAGTGCCATGCCCCAGCCCCGAGCTGGCTGGACCGTAGGGGATACAATGGAGACCCTGCCCCAGGCTCCCCACCAGCCCCCAAACCTCAGAGAGCCGCAGCAAAGCAGCCGTGATGAGCCGCTGTCCTCGGCGAGACGGCAGGAGCTGCCCTGCAGCGCTCCGGCTCCGTGTGTGCATCACTTGTCAGCTCCCCTTAGCCGTGAAAGGAGAGTTATCCTCCCCCGGGGCACGGCCGTGCCGTCCCAGCAGCGCTGGGCACGGGGGCTGGCGCTG